TGGTTGCCCCTTTACAGTGCGACAGCGATCACGCGCGCCCCAACGCCCCGAGTCCTGTTCCTGATTTTGGTCCGTTGTTTCCAGCAACAGGCTCATGTCCGCATCTCTGCATATTTGCGTATGTCCTTCCCCATTCCTCACTTTTGAGGGACTCACAGTTGGCAGTTTGCATGTGTGTTTCGCAAGAATTGGCCCATGCCATTCAAAACTTGTCGCCGCGTTTCCATGCAATTCTTTGGGTCATGCTAAATTTTCTGGTACAAAAACTGTGGACGTACTGGATTCCGTGATAATATAGTATCCGAATGAAGCGCAACAATAAAGGTAGAACGGATAGTAACAGCATTAAATCGCTGACTGTATCCTCTTTTTTGAGTTACGAAGTCTTAATCAGTAGTGCTACTGCTGCTGATAGTAAAAGGAAGGAACTCGTTCAAATTTCACTAGAGTGCTCCAATGAATTGTTAGTGTCTGTGAACAAAATACGTAGGTTTTAAGTTGAAACAACCGCGAAAGATGGAAAGCGAAGACTTGAATCGAGTGAAATTTGCTGCAGCAGGACCACTAGTGCTGGACAGAAAATTGGAAGGTCCAGTGGTATGTTGAATTTATATGCGTACGAGCAATCAAAAAGTGTTAGGGCAACGGAAAGTTTGCTAGGAAACTTGCCCATAGTACATACCTACAGATGACGTAGTTCGATTTCCCTAATCATTCGGCATTTTTGAGATCTCCACAAGCTTAAGTTTACGTAATTTAATTCTTTCTAAACTGGAGAAATTTCCGTTTGGTGATGTTTTATGCTCTACTTTATGCTCTTGGGCATCTCTTTCGCTAACTCCTTCGAAATAGGGTAGTGCTCGTTCTCTGTCTTCAATTTTTGATCAACTGATTTCAGAAGCATGCTCTTGATGACGAGTGTTCCCAAGCCCTACAGGGTATAGAGTTCGACGTTCGTCAAAACGAAATTGTTGACATCGGCTCAAACATCGAACTTATAGGGGTTTGTTTTCACTTTCTATTCTTTCTCATAACACACATAAGGTAAGCATAGAGCTTGAAGGAATCTTTCGCGGAAAATTCTTGCATTCTTTCTTGACATGAATGTGTCAGTTGTGATCACTGGAAACAGCACACAAAGTTTCACGCATGAAGATTCGGTTTCCGAAGAGAAACAAACGTACAAAAACTACACTCTATGGACAATCGAAGGTAATTCGGGCGGAGCCAAAGGCGAGGCATGGAAAGAAGTTGGCCTTTGGCCGGCTACGTATCAGGCGACGCAATGAAAGAATCGGGTTAAAGCGCGCGATTTCGGAGAGTAGAGACAAATCGATCGATAGAATAGGATGGAGTAGAAGTGTAAGATGTGAATGCAATAAGCAGAAGGCCAGAAAGAGTTTCTAGTGAAGGCACTCCAAGAACCAAGTGGAAGCATCCCCGTCGCCAGCATTTGTGAAAGACGTCCGTGGGCACTTTGAACGCGTAGCAGCCCTTTCGATTTTTCGAATTTTTTACCAAAACAAAAGCAATATTTCTGTTCTTTTTTCATTCTTATCGTGGATAATGAGTCTCAAGCCAGTGATTTATGGCTGAAATAGAATCATGATTTTTCCGTGAAGGATTCCTTTAAACGTTTATCAGTCTCTTTTCGCGATGACGCACGTATTCCTCCCAGTCAGTATCGTAGTGGTATTTCAATGAGACTCAGCCTACACACTATGTAAGTTGCCGTGGGAGGCGCAGCCGATGTACAAGTCAGAAGTTTATCCTCCCAGACTAGCCTGGTACCAATTGGCGAGGTTTGGAGGAATCAAGCTTGGTGGGCTCGAATGGTGCACGACTCAGGAAATTGATCCGCGGACTGTGCGCGCGATAGTGTGCGCCACTTACTACTACACCGCTTCCGCTTCGTGGACAGCAGGTCGCTCAAATCTTTGGCTATCGGCGCGGTAACCACAGCAGCAGCAACAACAACGCGAGATCAAGTAGGTGGGGCACCAGCTGTCGATAATGAAATTGTATATGACGAGTTGATGAAAATGAAAAAATTAGATGCAGAGCAACCTACTGATGGAGGCTCTAAACAAGTACTCCATTTCTCACCCCTTAGAGACTCGCGTGTAGGACGAGCCGTTGGATTACCTCCCCATGGCCCCACTGACTTGCGCTATTCCTATTAGCCTTCCTCCTAATCGTTGTAACGTGTCATTGGGCGTGCGCGAGGTATCTCGTCCACTAGCTTTCATTAGCTATGATTAGCTCACTTTGAGAAGCCCTAGCGCAATTGTCGCGTACTGTGGAGCCGCAACAGTAGCACATCTGTGATACCAACTTGTTGCTCTTCCTACTTCTAGAGTAGATTGTTCGACACGACCTCATTTGAGACTGCTGCTTTAAACACAACTAAATGTGTAGCTTGTCTCAAAGAGAATGATTAAAAGGTTCCTTTCGTAGGCTACTCTTGGGTGAGCATTACCGATTATACGTTTTCACTTCTTTCTATTCTAGAACGAACCAAGCAACACAGATCGTACCACTGAGGCGTCCAGACTATCTCAAGCACTACCAATACCAATACCAATACCCAAAGTAGGCGAATTCACTATTCACTTACTTCTAACTTATTATTCCTCCTTTTCCGCAACATTTATTCTGTTCAGGTACGAACGACACCTTCGGCGCCAAACGTTGTCGCTAAACGAATTCGAAAAACACTATCAAGAGATGGAAAGCGGCCTCGTGTTAGGCAAAAGCAAAGTCGAAAGACGTCTTAGTCAAGTTCTATTCGAAATCCTATTTGATGGCCGAGCGAAGTTACTGTTCTTCGTTTCCTTCTTCCTATCGATATACGAGACAATTCCAATTGAATTTACCTAAGTTAAGCTTCTTATTAATTTTCTTGTCCTTATAGTAGCTGCATAGCTAGTCGACAGTCCTTTGAATGGTAGTGATTGTGCTGGTTTGCATCCGAATTAAATTTCTTGCTCATTGTTTACTTAAAGAACGGTGAATATCCTTTTATTTATTGTTGTGTTCTGAATCATGTTATAAGACATTCCCATGGAACCCTTCAAGGAGACCTACATAGATACATATCTCACGATCAGTAAAGTCGAACATTGATTACAAATAGGGGCACTAAAACTGCTAACATAAGAGTGGAAAATGTCACATAATAGGCCTACTACTACTGCTGGAAACTGTTCGAAGATTCTCATTTGGAGTGGAAGAATGGGTTGATCAGCGCACGGTTAGCCAATTAGCGCTCTAGAACGAAGTTAAAGATCGTGAAATTCGAAAAAAACATTCATTCAATCTCACCATATGGTGGACCGGTTGGGTACGTGGCGTATTCTGAGGCAAGTGTTGAGATCCATCCTTTCTGTGGAATATGTAGGCTGCAAAAAGGGTTTAGAACGCATCACATACAAATGTTCATTACTTCTGGGGATGGAAGTCGAGTGCATGGTGCAATCCTAGATGAAGCTCTTCCAAAAACTGAAACATAGCATCTTGAATGCTGGTCCGCGCGCTATGAATTTCGTGACCCTTGCGTTCTAGCGCCTCTTATCAGATCTTATCAGTTGTTATCACTTTCTGTCCCCCAAATATGTTCCCGTCCCACCCCCTATATCATATCTTGAAACCAACTCCTGACGACTGCTGGTGCGCGAGCTATGAATTTCGCGACACTTGCGTTCTAGCGCCTCTTATCAGCTCTTATCAGTCGTTATCACTTTCTGACCCCCACCAAATATGTTCCCGTCCCACCCCCTATATCATATCAAAAATCAACTCCTGAACGACTGCTGCGACGCGTGCTATGAATTTCGTGACACACACACAACCAGACAGACAGACTTAGCGCTTTATATATAGTAGGGTTTGCAGCAACTTCAAAAGTGTGCGGAAGCGGTATAGTAGGTAGCAAAAGGTACAGCTCACGAACGCGCGGTCCAGAGATCCAAATCCTGGGTCGTGAGTCGCCGGGGCCAACCAAGCCTTCCATCCTCCGGGATCGGATAAGTGGTACCATGCTTGTCTGGTAGGATAAAAATACTGGTTTTTACTTCGACAGGCCCCCGCACGTCATTGTATAGGCCACAAGTCGCATTCGAAACGCCACTACGAACGTACAAATGGAAGTAGAATGCGTGCCGCATGCCAAGACGGGACTGACCATCGGCAACAGCTTTATCCTTTTCATTAAGTTCGAAAGCAACAAAGTCAATGTATTCAAGAAAAAAGTTCTTGACCAGAAACTTTTGTGGGGAGGGGTCATTTTTTAGAATCGCGAGGTGATGAGCAGAAGGTCCACCTTCTTTTCCCCTCACAACTGAGAAGATGAAGGTTGGTCGATCTACGAAACTTCATTAAACGAATATTCCAGAAAAAAGAAAT